TTCACTAAGGTCATAACTTCTAGCTGTGATATGCAGGATACCTAACTCTTTGTTACTGTGCATATTCTCTGTGAATAAGCATTCTTTCTCCTTGCCAGACAGGCTCCACAATTGCAGCATTCCCAGTTTTCTTACAATAGCTCTGTTATTGTTTTCTTTTACTATATGTACTATCAATTTCCTAGACTTGAGTTGAGGCAGTATATAGTTTCATAAACAAACAAACAAATTCATGACCTTAGTGAAGCATTGGTTAAAGTGAAGGACTGCAGGCAAACACTGCCCACAGCCTGGAGTTCGATCCTGGTCAAGGTTAACTCAGCCTTCCATCCTTCTGAGGTCAGTAAAATGAGGACCCAGATTGTTGAGGGCAATATGCTGACTCTGTAAACTGCTCAGAGAGTGCTGTAAAGTGCTATAAAGGGGCTGTATATAAGTGTAAATACTATCATTACAGTGCGTAGTAAAACTATGTACATCATGAGAGGTAAACTCCAAAATCCTAAAGCAGCTATCTGTAGCCTTGTCAGAGTTTGCAGCGGCAATCACATCCAGAAAGCACACACAGGTAACTGATTCAGCAGGATTCAATAACTTCTCTTTACATATCACATGAAGTAAATATACAATACCAAAAGCAGGTTTTTCCAACCTGGTAATAAATACAAGCAAAACACAAGCAGAGGAGAGGAGTTTCAGTTTTAGTTCAGAGCAACAGACTAGTTTTGAGTTCAGCACAGACTCAGAGCTACAGAGCTAAGCCACACCCAGGCTCCTTGCTGTCTGAATCAGCAAACAGCCCCCATTGGCTGATCTTGTTGCCATGTCTCTTCCAGTCTGAACCCTACACTGACAATCCTAGTGCCTTGTAGATATCTAGGACTTTAATCACTATTAAGGTAGTGCATACAACATAATCACAAAGTATAAAGAAGCACACACAAAGAATTTACATACAAAGCGTCTACAGTGAAAATGGCAACAATACAAGTGGCATGAACAGCTTCTTTTTAAGATATGAGCACCAAGTTCATATCAAGCATGTGCCCTTTTTCAATATTTCCTGGTTTACTTCCCTGATTTCAATGTTTTGTTGCCTTCCCTCCTTTTCTTCCACCTTCCCTCCCTTCTGAACCTGAGAGTTCCTCAAGCAAAGACTTCCTTTGATTGTGTGCATCATGCCGTAAGGCACTCGGAGGATGTTTCATATTAGTGTAAAGTGTATTCTGGGGTTTCGGAAGTGGTTTGGAAACTGATTTTCTCTTTTCTTCTCTTGGGAGCTAAAGCCAGAAGTTCCAAATATCATTTCCAAGCTGCCTGTGGAGCAAACGGTGGAGTTCAGTGTCACTGTCAGCAACCAGGAATATACACCAGACCTGAATAACCCGGGTTCTCCTCTGTATCAGAAACTAGCAGCAAAATATCAAGTCCAGGTAAAACACTCCTGAGTGGAAATAGAATCTATTCTTGTCAGATGAAGTCAGTTTCCTTTGATATATTTGTTTTAAGAAAACATCTTATAGAGTAGATATTGCGGTTATTGAAGATATGGAAAATGTATTTCTGGTTTGCTAGGCTATCGGTAAATGTGTAGGTCAGGGGGTGTCAAACTCAAGGCCCAGGGGCCAGGAAACAGTAAAGGACCAAGCTGTGGTGCCTCTCCGAGCAAAAATGAAGCTCAGGAGGGCTTGTAGGAGGCCATTACAGCCGAAAACAGAGGTCAGGAGCCCATTTTTGTTGGCAGAGCACTCGAGCCACCATAGGTGCCCCCGAGACGAATAGATGGCCATGCCCTCCCCAGACCCCCAAGGTCAAACACAACCCTGATGCAGCCCTAAATGAAATCGAGTTCGACACCCTTGGTCTTTGTAGTCCTTGTTTATTTGCTGCCTCATTCAATCACCGTTCAACATTATGATGGTGCTGAAAAAAATAACTGTACAACTAATGCCTGCATTTATGATGTCTGCAGCATCCCACAGTTATGTGACTAGTACAGTGAGTGTGCATTGTCCTATGCTTGACCTGTTGTTTTTCCTCTGCCTCTACCTTGCAGAGGGGACAGAAAGGGATTACAAGAGAGTAAGCACAGGCCCAATGGGAAATATACATCCGGAGGAATGCAGGATAGCACTGGCAGCTGCAAGTGCCTTACCAAAATATAATAATTTATTCCCCGTTGCATGGTTGCTTATTGTCTTGGAATCCTTTCCTTTCCAATCTCTCCGTTCTGTGAGGGGGGGGAGAAACAATTTATCTAGGCAATCTTTCCTGTGCTTGACCCATTTTTCTTCTCCCCCCCCCCCACCCAGAATGGGAGATTGGAGAAGAAGCAGTTAGAAGAGAGTAAGCAGCAGTGGTGGGTTGCAGGCGGTACACCCCGGTACAGGCATAGTGGAAACTGCCCAGAGCACCGGGTACCATTCCAGTACAGTGCTCTGGGTACTGTTTCGGTACGGTGCTCCGGAGGGCCCGCCCACCCGCTCGAGCTCCTTTAAAGCTGTCAGCACTTATGCACATGCACGACGCTCCACTGAGCAGCTGGAGCATCGCAGAGGCTTGCGGAAGCGTCATTTGAAGCTACAACATGCTCGTGCATGTGGGTAATGCCGGGGCCGGAACGGAATCCAGAACCTACCCTTGGTAAGCAGGTATACAATGGGGAATACGCTGGGCTATTTGCATAGCCAGTCACAGCTGCTGATGCCACCACATTGCTTTTAGTTGTATTCCACATTATGTGCCTGCTAACTCTCTTGTACCCCCTCCCTTAATGTAAATATAAATATTAATTCCATTCTTGATTCCAGCAATTGGGATTGCTGGAACTGATTATTCCAAAGGGCCAGAGAGTGATTAGGGGGGATACAAGATCTGGAGATATGAAACTGATTAGTCTTGTCAATTTCAAGGCAGCTATCCCAATGCTGTCAGTCAGCATTCCATAAACCAGGGAGGTAGGAAAAGGGAAAGAGCAAGTGAGGTTTAATAACAGAGCCGCTGGTCTTTATTGTGGTAAGCTAAATGAGGACTTTTTGCATTTTATTAAGATAGAAAAGTTAAATTATATTTTAGACTTCAGTTTTTTTTAAATTCCAAGCAATTTACTACACTGTGCTATTTGGGTATTTCAGAGGAGGTTGTCCTTTAAAAAAAAAAAGAATATAATCTACTCACAGTTAAGCACTTTTAAATCTCCCTTACTAAAGTTATGCGCTTAAATCTTACTAAAATAAGGAGAAGTCAACTTAGATAACTCAGACTCTCCCCTCTGTTTAATCCTTCAAAATGACTCTTAAAATATTCTAGCCACTGTAAGATTGTTACCATAGGTAGTGATCAGTAAGGAGAGATGCTTCATTTTACAAGGAAATGACAATAGAATTTTATTTGTGCACTAGAATAAAGATATATCCGCACATAAGCAGAGACAGACAATAGATTCATCTCCACTTAACATTGCCTTCTTATGGATGTCTGCTTATATATGTATTTGAGGTGCAGATAATTCTCCACATCTATTTCTCGACAGGCTAGTATCACAAGGGTGTTATCAGGGGTGAGGATACTTAACCCAACTTTGTCCCTGTTCACAAAATGGAGTTAGTCCCATATTTGTAGCACTGGGAAGGGCTAAAACTAGCAAGGGAATTGTTGGAGTTAGTATATTTTAACAATTAGGATCCTGTTCATTTCCCATAATATCTGGATGCTATGGATGGGCTCCATAAATGTCCCTAGATAATAAAAACTATAGCCAGTTCTAATTGTTCAGTGCCTGGATTAGATATGTTCTCCCTGACCAGAAAAAGGGGCCAAAATAATAAAGGAACCTCATGCTGATTGTGTTGGCTTTAGAAAGTGGCTAGTAGCATTTTTGGAAGCTTGTCCGCATTTTATGAATAAGTTTCTCCTAGCATTTTCTAAACTGCAAACGTTGGTAATGCTTAAATTAAATATTAATCAAACATATGAACAGTCACTGTTATTATATGATTTTAATATTATTATTACAGCCTGTTAAAAAAAAACCTGCAAAGCAATTTGAAGAATAAAAGATGCATCAGTTCAAATATTGTAGATATTTCATTATTGCATAAAGTGCTACAAGTACAGAGTACTTTATCCTGATAAAATAATTAGTCTGTAATGTGAACACTTTATCATGCTTTAAGTAATGGATAATATCACTGAGTTACACAAGGTAAATCACAGCCATTTCACATTGAAATCTTCCATCAAAAATTTTAATAATAGCTGGTAGAAAAATATAGAAAAGGTCGCCACTAACCCTGCTTGTATCTAGAGCCAAGTATCAGAGATCATCTCAAGGATGAGGTGGAATCTTAAAAAAAAATTCTAACATTGTGAAGGGACTTATAAATTTGACATTAGTATTTAGAACAGGTCCTAGAAGTCAACTCTAGGCTGGTGAGCGGAATGAAATACTAGGATAAAACCATAGAACAATCAGCTTATCAGGCCTGCATTTATATTCCTTTTAGAATTTTTTTTTAAGATTCCACCTCATCCTTGAGATGATCTCTGATACTTGGCTCTAGATACAAGCAGGGTTAGTGGCGACCTTTTCTATATTTTTCTACCAGCTATTATTGAAATTTTTGATGGAAGATTTCAATGTGAAATGGCTGTAATTTACCTTGTGTAGCTCAGTGATATTATCCATTGCCTAATGCATGATAAAGTGTTCACATTA